CCCTACAAGGCTAGTAAGAGATGAGAGAGGATATAGCTCCTACAAGCCTGTATGAGTCCACCCCTCATTCCCAAGATGTTCTGGTAGCAGTCTACTGTATTGGCCTTTACCTTCTTCTCGTGGTTGGGGATGATACAACGGACAAAGTTGGGGTTGGTGTTCCGCAGGGTAGCCATCAATTTGGCCAACTGTTCTTTGTAGAGCTGTCCCACTGTTCGGAACATACCCTTCCTGGTTTTAAAGGCCCCTGGCAATGCTGATTCTGACATGCCGGCCACCTGATCCAGCCCAACTATACGATCAACTAAAGATAACACAAGGAAAGCATGTTACATTTCTGCGACAGCCTGATAAGGTGGGGAAAATGCACAAAGAACAACTGGGCAGAACAGGATAAGTGAAAGATGCTGCAGGATCCTTTTTGTCTTGTCTCTACACAAGTGTCCAGGTCCTGTACAATATCTGTGCAGGCATGGGGGCAATAAGGAAAGAAAGCAACAGCTCATGACAGGGTGTCCAAGTGTTAGATCCTCTCACACTCCCAACAAATCCCCCACTGGCAGGCTGAAGAACAGCTGTACTCTGAATGGCAAAGCAGAAATGGCATGGCGGACCTTGCAAATTAGATACCACACTTACCCAATTTAGAGGTAAGAGATGGCATTTCTAATTGCTAGTCTGACAGACGTGACTTAGGATCTTCCCATCTTAAAGGCAATCAATACCCCCCACCCTCCCACTGATCCAAATGGAGCCAAAAATTCAGTCAGTTATGTACAAGGAAAGAATTCAGCTTCACTCACACATCCCAGGTTGAATCTGTAGGGCTGGCAGCTAGAAAAAGCCATATTTAATTGCAAGCTGAACCACCATGGTTTGGGATCATAAAATGCCGATCTCCACAATGCCATTGTTTGAGTCACTCTTTAGAGTACAAGTGCACTTCAAGTCAGAGACTAGACAGACTTGCACTTCCTCAAAAAAGTAAGACTCCTAAAGATCCCCATCTTGTTGGCCTCCTAGTGTACTGCAAGGATCAGCCTCAGAACTGATGGAGCCATCACCTAATTACATAAGTAAATCGCTTCCATTTTTTCATTACAATTTCACTAGAACCAGGCCAGAGTTTGGGGACAATGACAAGGGGAAGCTATAGAATTTCCTTTCCCAATGACTCTACTCAGTTCTCACCAGGCTCCAAAACTAGAGCGAGAGAATGCTACATCCTTATCTCCTTTGGCTCATAACAATTACATCAGCTGTAGCTCCTTCACCTTGCCTATTGTTTTGTATGAAAACTGGAGGTGATTCCTCACCACAATGGTAAAACGTATCCCAAGAGGGAATATTTAACCTGAGCACTGCTGGGTAAAAAGCTGTTTGTGAGTTGACTGTCCATAAAGGAAAGGGAACATGTTGGGGAGGATTATCTGGCACACAACTAACGAACACAGCTATCTGCTACCTCTACAGTAGTAGCTAGAGTAGGGTCCAGGTTGGCTGGTAAGGGAGGAAAAAAGGTGTCACTGTGGAGTTCCACAAAAAAGCACCCTGGCCTCTGAACAGAACAATCCTCTTAACCACCTTGATCCCAGTCTATGTCAAGACAGTAAAAAGGACAACGGATTGCAGCAGAAGTTTCAGACAGGAACAAAGCATAGGGACTGATCAACTGCAGTCTGCTTGCCATTTGGAGTCTGAATGGATTCTGCCAGCCTCCCAAAGAACTAGGGCCACTAGGCAGATTGATGGCCATATTCCATACAGAACAAAACACACTGTCAGAGTATTCATCCATCTCTCAAATGGTCAGCAGTTGAAGGCAAATTGAGCCACTGGAGCAGTATTTAATTGGAGTATAGTGTTTAGAGATGCCATCTCAAAACCCTCCCCCTCCAAATCCTGCACTGAAATCCAGTATCACTGGATCTGCATCCAAACAGATGACAAAAGTGCTTGCTTTTAGCTAGCCCTACACAAGACCCTGGACTGCACAGTCAGCATGCGACTATGCCCATGAGTCTACATACCTTCCGGCAAGGTGCAATTTTTGCTTTTGTTTTTAAACTTCACGAGGGGCCAGTAGCATAAAGCAAAGGAAATGAACAAAAAGACAGACAAGCGGGAATGGCAAAGGGACAGAGAAGAGTTAACGGAAGCATTTCTTGCATGGCTCTAGGTTGCGTTACACACTTGACACAACAGCCGGGTTTCTCAGTCACCTGGTTCTAGATGAAGAATAGGAAAGTGTTGATAGAAATAGGCTCTCTGAACGTTCTGCATCTCTGCAACAGACAGAGACGTCAAAGAAAACCCAAGACAAGAGAGTGATAGCAACAGTAAGACTCAAGGCAACAGAAACTCAAGAGAGGAAAGAGTCAAATACCTAATGACACCGCAGCAAGAACATGAGTAGCAGCATCTATGACTAAGTCAACCGTCTGAGATTTCATGTGTGTATGTTGCAGCTACAGGCTGCTGACTGATTCACATTTTAACCTAGGATTCTTGAGTTGGAAAATATCTGTGATGCACGTGACAGGCTAATCACAGGCTAAAGAGGGGCATGTGAGCCCCTCATTCCAGCCAGAGAGGATATTTCTTTTGTGTATAGTACTGCAGAATAAGCAAAGCAAGTGTGCAGCAAGTTCCAGACTGCACTGGTCTCAGTAGCTCATTTTTAAGGAGGAAAGCAGCACATCTTACAGAATTCTGACCATCAGATACTAGTTCTTAGATGCAATTTCTTTAATAGAAGCTGCCAGTAGGAAGAGAGAGAATTTCTAACACATACCATCTTTCCATAGCTCGGACACAAACTTATCCGAGGACTGGTGGAGAAGAGTAGCAATATTATCATTCAGAGGATCCATGTTTTTCATCAGCCACTCATCTGCTTTGTAATCCACCTGGGGAGAAAATTGTTCGAGTGATTAAAATGGTCTTCCTTGAGTGTGGGGCTGCAAGGGATTCTGAGAAGGCTAAAAAGTTTTGCTAACTACCTGGGTCCACAAATGGAGAGGCAAAGCTTAAGGTATACACCTGGAGCACACTGCAAGAGCAACTATGTGCTAGCAAACAGAATGTTTACCCTAAAGTATGACAAATTTAGCCCTAGTAAAATTTAGAGGTAAATCTGCTCATTTGGGGTGAGGCTAAATTGGTTTAAAGAAGCTGCCATGTGTTTCAGTTTTTGTGAATTGATTTGCCCCATGTTAACCCATTTGTACATAAGTGGCCTAAGATCAGAATAGAAGCAACAAGGTTACCTACTGTTTTCAGATTTGATTCTTCCCCTGACACTCCACAAAACATTTAGCAAGAATCCAGTTGAGCATTAGCAAAATCCAAATCCAGAGCAACAGCTAATGGTTTACTCTGTGAAAAGTGTGAATGGGTCTATAAAGTAGGTATACACCATGCTGGAAATGCCATTTGAGGAACACATTTAATCAGAGGTGGGAAAGTTATGTCTTTTTTTTTTTTTTTGTGCGATGGTATTGCTCTGAACTTGCCAAGTCACCACCAACATTTGTTGGCCTCATAGACTGAAGTTTGTCACTACCAATGCTTTTAGCTGGTGTATTGCAGGTAAGTTCTCCTGCACCTTGACAGCAGGGCATTTGAGAGGGTCCCCAGAAAACCAAAACATTTTTTCCATTGATATGAGAAGCACTGACAGTCCAAAAACTAGTAACTCTTGACAGGTCTATAGAGAATGCTGCAACACCTAGTTTCACACAATGCAACAGACATTCTTTACCTTGCCAGCATAATGAATGATGCAGAAGTCAGCTTTGTCTTTCAGCTGTTTCGGCTTCTGGAACTTAGGGTGGCTGCCCTGCTCCTGCATCACCTTTTCCACAAAGCTTTTGTCTGTCGCTTTTGGGAACCAACACTCTTCATCCAACAGTGCCAATATGCCAGGGGGACCAGCCTAGATGAGGGAGAGATACCAGAACATCTCAGTAAGGGCACAGCAGTATTGTTCTCAATACTGACAGCACTTTGAAATGAAAGATACCCAACCAAGTTTAAAAACAGCAGGAGTTGTATTAAAACAGACTAGCTGCTTCTGTGTTATTATAAATTGCAAAATAACTCCTCTAGTTCCACAGCTGGTTTCTAGATGTACAGAAGATCTCATAAAGACAATTACTTTAGGTAGAAATTTTTGTTTTGTTTGTTTTAAATGGAAGAAAGAGCATTAGCACTACACACTGTGCTACTCTTTCTAAGCAGAGACACAAGGAATGAGAATACAGGGCATCACAGCAGGAAGTTTTCACAAATCAATCTATACGCTTTGAGCAACGAGGGAATTTTACTCATATACTGGTGTGTTTAGTAGACAAGACATTATGATGGAAGGATACCGTTTCCTATTACAGTTTCAGATGATTTAGCAGCCTGCCAAATCATAGCAGGGTTTGGATCTGTATCAGACACTATGCAAATCAAGTCAACTTGGTTAAAAAGATAAATGGCTGAACAGGTGACATTCATATGATACTGATTTAGAAAATTTGACACTGGTATAGCCAATCAGTGTATTTTTTGAAGACAAGAGGGAAAATGGACAAATTCAACTGCTCAGGTGGAGGGTTACAAGGGCTGGGAAAAGCCAGCTCCCAGGCTGCCTCAGGGGGCCGTAAGCATAACAAACCTTAAGACTATGAAGCAAGTGTGGCAGTCTTCTCACTGCTCTGATGTGAATGAGCTCCTTACCGGTTTCTCTATGAGGTCAATACAAGGCTGCAGATCCAGGCCAAAGTCAATGAAGTTCCATTCTATGCCCTCTCGCTGGTACTCCTCTTGCTCCAGAATGAACATGGTGTGGTTAAAGAGCTGCTGCAACTTTTCGTTTGTGTAGTTGATACACAGCTGCTCAAATGAGTTCAGCTGGTCAAGTAAAGAAAAGAAGTTAAAGGGATACTCAACCTCAATGGCCAGCTCTGCTTGAGAACTGGAACAGTGATAAAAAAATAAAAAAAAAAAAAAAAAAAAAAAAATCAACATCTATGATCACATCTACATCTGAGGGATATTAGCCAAATGGCCAGTGTACTCCAGGTGTTTGGCAGTATTTTTACCAGCAAAAGACTACTAATAACTGCAGTTCCATGTCACAACTGCACCACTTTTGCATTCCTCTAGGGGAGTTCATATGCACACAGTTCTCCAAACTCTTTGCAAGGCATTTACCAGTAACAGTAGGAGGAGTTGCTGCAGTTTCTCAGAACAGGGACCAGGAAAGTCTCCTTTTGCCTCAGAGCTGATGAACAACCTTCCTAGAACTGAGCACTAATAGGGGCCTGAAATGTGGGGAGGGAGGAGCTCCCCCCACACTAACAAATCTGTGCTAAAGGAGCAATGGCAAACACAGTCTTATTTCCTTATGGATTTCTACAGGTCCTGGAAAGAAGCACATGTTGGCAGGATAGGCACAAGTGTGTCAGTTGGAGCACATCCAGGCTTATTCTGACCCGTGCACTGTCCTTTGCAGAAAACTAACTTTCAGCAGGCAGCAGAAGAACAATAATTGTCAAGGGATCATTCTCTAACATGTCCTGGAATATTTTTAAGCAAATACAAAACAGCAACCCTCTTAAACTTCATGTCACAAAAAAGACTCTAAACATCATTAATTTACACACTGAAGGTTAAGAGATAATTTGGACTATAATCTATCAAAGGTGAATCAAGATTACACAGAACTATACATATGGCTACAATATTCATGATACATACTCTAGAAGGAAGCAGTGCCTCAGATACACTAGGTATGCAGATTAAATACTTGCAGCAAAACGTGAAACACTGAAGAATAGTTACTAGGTGGCATTTCATAAGGCTATAAATCAGACACTGCTCATCAGTGGAACTCCCTTTAAGTCCAGGGAACAGAAAATCTGTTGCATTAGCTGCAAAAACAGAATGCTTGCTTACTTCAAAAATCTCAAAGCCAGCAATGTCAAGGATTCCTATGAAGGATGCCCCCTGCCTCTTTGTCTTATCCAGCGCTTTGTTGATGCGCATCACCAGCCAACGGAACATGCGCTCATAAGTGGCTTTGGCCAGAGCCTCAATGGCAAAGTCAGCCTGAATAGGAAGGAAACAAAAGCTAGAGTCACATTACAAGCCCAAACTAAATTGCACAAGGATTTGTTAACAATGGAGACTCGGGTTGTAATCTTTTATCACTCCCAACTCAGTAAAACTCGTCTCATTTGAGAGACTATTCCAGCTGAAAAAAAAATGACTAAGTGTCTCATCTCAGTAGGAAGGAATGGAGGATTCGCCGTATTGCAGAGTGCATCAAGTTCAAGTTCCAGCATCCAGCTTCTGGTAGGATGGTACACCAGGTGCTTTCAGAAAAGTAAATTCTGTCTAGTCCTCTCAAAGAGCAGAGATTTTAAGGATGGCAGCCTCTCAGGTTGCAAAATAAGAACATTTAGAGTAATCCAGGAGCCTCAAATTCATTCTGTTCCATAGGCTGGATGAATGTCACTGACCAGTCTGTGAGATGGACTAGAACCAGAAGTATCATTTGACACATGAACCCAGCACCACGAGTGCTGCACAGGGGGTGTCCTGTGCAGCACTTGTGGTGCTGGGTCCAGGCCACACATTGCACACTCCATTTTACACCTTAAAAGGATGAACATTCTGTGACATTTGCCTAATCTTAAGGATAAGCAGCAAGTTCCACTATCCTTGAACCTGACCTGCTCAAGAAGACTACTGCCTGCATTAGACAGCAGGCAGATGCCAATTTGGCATAAGGCACTTGGTGAATTCACGCCCTAGAGCAGAGCTTTCCAAACTTTTCATGTTGGTGACACACTTTTTAGACATGCATCATTTCGCGACACAGTAATTCAGTTCTGGGGGAGGTGCCAAGGGAAGCAGACGCGAGTAAGGGAGCTCCGCGGTGCCCTTCCGCAAAATTTTCTGCATTTCGCGCGACACGCCTACACACTGCCGCCGACACACTAATGTGTCGCGGCACACAGTTTGGAAAGCTCTGCCCTAGAGAGACTGCCAGCCCTGAGTCGCATCCACGCTTCCTTAGCACAGGAAGCCCAGTCACTTTGCATGGGAGACAGAAGCCATCCCTACCCTGCACTATCAGCTTCTATACAAGGAAAGGAGGGCAAACACTAAAGCAGTTTCAATATTACTTTGTTTATGCCCAGTTGTGATCCCCTGTGGCAGTTAAGATGGCTAATCAAGGTGTACACCAAAGACATCTGTACCCTTAATCTCAATGCTGTGGTGCTAACAGTCCCAGTGGTCACTTACTCTTGCAGAGCACATACCTGTTCTTTGGTCTGAGCTTTCTGGACATAATCTCGTCCCACTTTGATGCGAGGAGTGAGAATTCCTCTAGTGAAGTCTGTCACATTGATACCCAAAAGGTGGGACACCTTCTGAGCAGCTTGAGGGGAAGAGAAAGCAAAGACAAGTTTAAGGCTAACTCTCCTTTTGTTTCACAGTAAGCCAATGGAGGAGAAAGATATTCCCGACAATCTATTCCCCAGGGGGTCAAGTACTGGCATCAAACAGCTCTCAACGGAACAGCAGGTTAATGAGACAATCAAGAGAAGAGATCAAAAAACCCAGTGGAGTGTGTTAAGCCACAGGAGTAAATTTCACAGGATATTAGTGAATCACTATGTTAGTAGCATGAGAGCACAGGCAAGTCAACAGCCTGCCCCTGATTTGAGGATGCCTCCAAGTAGCTGAAACACTAGAAAGGACTTCAAGTTAATGATTCTATCTGCACCTGCTACAGGGTCTCTTCAGGCAATTATCAGTGGATGGGATTTTAATCTGAAATTAGAACAGTTCCCCTCTCCTCTCTGGAGGGAAATTATTTGAAGCAGATTACTTAAACTATGATACGACTCAAAACACAACCACAATCCCACTTTCTAAAGGACTTTAGCAGCTTCCTATTTATTGGTCTATTATAAATGCTTCGGCAGTACATCTAATGGGGTATTGGAGAGATGTCTCCTGGGCAGGCTCCTTCCAAGTGAGATAGGGTATTATTTACAACTACACAAGGAGAAACTGCAGCTAAGAAGTAGGTATTCCATACACTCACCAGAGAAATGCCACCTAGTCTACAGTGGGCAGAACTGTAAACAAGAAGGATATTTCCTTAAATCATGGAGCAAGTCAGAGGATTGTTTTGAGTTGTGTAAAAATGTGAGCACAACTATTAAGGCTCAACTCCCATGACACTAGCATAACTCAGTTTCAACTGGTTGCCGTGTGTGTTTCCTGCCCAGCACCTGCACAAAAACACTGCTGCATTCCTACCCAAAGCTGACTGCAATCCTACAGAAGATAAAGTGATGCATAAATATATATATTTTGCTAAAAAAAATATAAGCTTTCGGGTCTGTCCTTGACTGCGATAGACAAGTCTTTGCAAAGAGAAGTATCTCTCATTTTTGTGGGTTGTTACCTGTATTGTCTGGCATAGAAGCTTGGTCTGTGTTGCGCTCTTTCTTGAAGGCTATGTTGCCAAGCTGAAGAACACCTGAGATAACCTTTAGCAAACCTTTCAGAGTAAAAAGGAAAAGAGACAGGTCTCATTCAGAAGGAAGTGAGACTACATTAGGTAAGTATCAGGCAAGTAAATAGCACAAGCTGACATTTCATTCCTCTTAGCATCAGATTGGAGGATCATCTTTCACTGTTTAACAGTAATACATGAAAAGGCAAGAGGCAAAGAGCAAACCAACTCCAACAATCAGGAGCGTGAACCAGTTATGGGTGGGGTGATCTATTCTTTTCATCTAGATCACTTTTACCTCCTTGTAGGCATAGTGAAAACGTCCATGCCTCAGAACACAAAGTGTGGCAGGAAAGCATGGGCATCAGGGTACCTGTACTACAATTATGGCTGATGACACAATGAAATACCTCTATCGCCATGTTTCACAAATGCAGATGCCTCTTGGGGAAGTGTATACCAAGCATCTTCCAGAATAGGGAAGGAAAATTGTCAATGTCAAATATTGAAAAATGTTGACCTCATACTGCACTGACCAACACTCAACAAGAAGCAACTTTTATTAGGACTGAAGAGAGTAAGCCATCGTCAGGTGATTTCACTCCCTCAAAGGGACTCATGTAGAGGACTCTTCTCCTCCCTTCTGCCTAGCGTAGTACAAGCCATTTTACAGCACGATTCTTTCTGGCAGCAAGACTCATACGTCCACAAAGAACAAGAGCTCCACAGATGCTACTTCAGGATTGGCAGAAAAGAAACACACATGCTCCCATTGGCATGGTAAGAAATCCAACAGCCTGACAGCTGAATGGGGAGACCTGGCACTCAGACAGACAGCTTATTTTTATATTGTCTCATCTAAATGAAGATAGTTAGTGTTTAGACTCTCCCTCCAAACTAAATAAACTTACTGTCCAGACGGCTGCCATATGTATTATTCTTGTAAGCCTAATGAGACATTTAATGCACTTCACACCTAGACCAGTGAGGACAAAACATTCCACCCCATCTTTGTAGATGAACTACTGAAACTTCTATTCACCAGACGAGGTATGCTCTACAATATACATCAAACACTGACAACAGGTCACTATGGCTGTTAATTAGACTGCTCTCGTTAGGCCTCCAGGTAGAGGCATCATCACCTCCACCAAGCGTTCTGCTCAGACACATCACTGGCTTACCTACCTTTATGTACTAAACATACTATAATTTGATACACTTCTGTTTTGTTTTAGCTACAACAGTTTTATCCCCTCTTCCCATGCATTCCCCAGGCCCTTCAACGGATCCATACCCATTTGCTCGTCATCTGGGATGCCCATGATCTTCATTGCCTCCATGGTCTCCTGAAACATATCTTTATCTTGCTGACCTGGGATTGTAACATGCCCATTGGAAAGGAAACGGTACTTGTTGTAAGGCTCCAACAGCAGATCAGCTTAGAGGAGAATGGGAGAGACAAGAAGTTATTGTAGCCTTCATTATAGACAACAAACTAGCATTCTCTGCAGTAGTTGAAGCCAAGTCCAAAATGAATCATTCTTTTTGCCTGAGCTCCTCTAAAGTTCAGTTATAGCCATCTACGCTCTTAATTTGTTAACATTTGCCAGTTCCAACCTCATTAAAAATGCTTCCAAACATTGTATGTTAGCATTGATTAGTTGTTCTGGCCTCTCAAGAGTCAGACGCGGGAGAACAAGACAACCTTTGTTACTCTATCCTCTCTCTAGCCAAGAGATCAGCACCAGATTCTCAGAGGAATTTAGTTACCTAAGTGGATTCTTCAAAATTGTCTAGGCTTATCAGGCACCCCTTTACCTTTAAAAATGTGGCCTTCATCTCTGTTTCTGCTGGGGACAGGAGAAAAACTGAACCAGGGTTTAGATTACTTTCCTTGGCATTGGATTTCTGTAGTTCTACATTAGATCATTCTTCTACCTAGAAACTGCTTTTTGACCACTTCATTTGTCTTGGCATACTCTGCCAAAAGAAGCCCTGGTGTTTCTTGTATTCTACTTCCATTAGAGGCAAGGACTGCCCTGCAAGTGAAGGGCCCCCAGCATCTCATACTGCATTTGTTTCAAATCAGTTGGAAGTTGATATATAGCCCTAGAGACAGTACATTCCTGAGAAGGGCTCTCTCCCTGTCACCTCTACCCTCCCCCAGTTCCAACCTACAGGCCTCATACTGTGTGGGGTTAGATTCCTGTAAGTAAGCAATGGTTACTCTAAAATTATGGAGGCATTATGCTAGCAAACAACATGCACATCTAGTGTTGCTCAGGTGCCAAATGTTATTCTAATTTCTGCTAAGTGCCAAGTTTATAATGAGACCATTCTTGCCCTGAGGACCTTACACTATAAAAGGCAAGGTCATACATGGAATTGTAGTTTAGATATGGAAGGGTGTGGATGTATCACTAGCAATGAGATAAGCACAGAAAGAAACTAGAGAAGCAAGTTTTGAGGAAACCAAACAGGAGTGGGGAAGGTCCTAATCAGCAGAGTGAAAGGAAGATCCATGTATTTAGAAAGAGTGAACAATACTAGGCCAAAGACTGCAAGTGTCTGGAAACATAGGGAAGCTGCAGAGGAAGGAACCCTACAGTTACAACAAAAAGTACTCACTCTTCAGGTGCTCCCCTGCCCCTGACAGTAAGTAATAGAAGATGTGGAAGGTTCGCTCTTCTTTGGCTTGACGAATTGCACGCGATTTCTCCAGTAGATCTTCATAGAGTCAAGGACCAGAGGAGATACTGATAAGTTACTTCATACAATACTCTCATCACCCATGGCAGGAGGGAAGTTACACTTAACATCAGCACCTTTCAACCTAGTTCCTAGGAGGGGCAGGTTGATTAATACTGCCCTGCACTGCCCCTTCAAAGGTTTGGGCTCCTCCAACAGTTCCTCAACACCCCATTGGCTGACTCAATTTAAACTGTGCTTCCATCCCAGTCTCCAAGTTAGCCAAGCAGAGGGCACAGCATGATGAGCGACTGAACTGTCAATGCAAAGAAATTCTTGCCACTCTGCTCTGCCTTTTCTGATTAGAGATGAAAGGTCTCACAAAATCCTGAGGCTACTCAGGATGTCATTTCATCCATGAGGGACTCTTGCTGCAACCCCAGTCAGGTTCTAAAATGCTGTACTCTTCAATGCAAGCTCTCTTGCTGTCCATGGACACTCAAGAGGATCTCGCTAGGCTCTCAAGAGGACCTTGCTAGCCCAAGATGGATATATTCTGAGGAAAGTTCAATCCCTCTTACCTCATCCTAGAGCCGGCAGACACTAAATGGTTGTATGTAGACAAACAGGTACATTATCACCCCCCTCCCCTCCACATCCTGTATCTTATTTCTGTTGAGTGGCTCCATGGAAAGGATACAAGTTTCAATATTGGCTCCGACAATGTAGCCATTGACATCAAAGTTGATTCTAATGAACTTTCCCTGAGGAAGACATGAATTGAAATATTAGTGCTACTTTTTGCCACTACATTAGAAAGCCTAGGTTAGGACCTCTGCCAATGCAGAGAAAAAAAATTCAACAAGTCAAGCAAGTTTAAGCAGACCACAACCTCAGCCAACACAAAAACACCAGCTACTTAAAAAGTACTCACCAGGATCAAAAACACATCAATAAAGAGCTATTTCAAGGCATTCAAATGGCTTAGGAGCCAGGAAATGCATTAAAGTTTAATGCTGAAGTAGATTTCCCTCTCCTCAATTTCACATGCCATATGGGATAAGAAACCTTCTAAACTGCCTGTGCCCAGCTAGAATTTACCTTCAACTGTTTGCAACTTCCCCCTGCTCCCTGCGTTGCCTTCCACTGCACTCCAGAATAAATATACTAAGGATCACTAATCTCAGTTAGGAAGCTGAACAGAGAGTGAAACAATGGCACGAGTAGCTCTGGCACAAGTTCAGCATCTTGCATACCAGGAGCTCAAACCTGTCAGCACCACTTCATGGATAATCCCCTGACCAGTGAAAACTGCTCCTCAACTTCACTCAAGAGAAGCCAAACAGAGACCAGGACATCCCAGGGCTGCATGCCAGGCACCAAAGCAGAGCAAAACACCCCTCAAGCTCATGGCTCCTTCCTCCAGAAAGCTGGAGGCAGCAGCATTCAGGCAGGATGACCATACTCACAAATCTTGAGGAGTTGTCATTCTTCACTGTCTTGGCGTTTCCAAAAGCCTCCAAGATGGGGTTAGCCTGAAGCAATTGCCTTTCAAGTTCTCCCTAGAGAGAAAATTCAGAAGTGGATGAAATGGGCCGTCTGACACCTTAACCTGGACCCTCTGACTTAACTAGTCAGGGAGGTTGAAGCTTCCTCTCAGATCAGCTTGGCACCTGCATAGAGAAGCTAAATTGGATTTTGGAATATGGTCTCAAATATCTGGGGTGTGCTAGTTCTTATTTTGGAGAGCCTGTTTCCTCAAGAAATATCCCCTCCTTTCTAGTTCACAGCAATGCAGTCCACCCCTCTTCCGAGACAACTTCCAGGTTTTGGCTATCGGGCTACGCCACTGGCTTTCCAGGGGCAACAAAAAAGGATGTTCTTTCCTACCTTAGGCCCAGAGCCCAGCAACGGGCGGTTATCTGGGCATGAAGAGTAAATATTAAAAGGCCTCACACACAGACTTTCTGTTGGGAGACAGACCTGAACGCTGCCAGTAACAGAGCATCAAAACATACATCAAATTGTTGGGACATGGGGTTAAAAGTCTTCACTTGCACCAGGGCTCTCAGTTCCCCACACAGACCAGCAAAACCTCCTTTACAAGGATGTGGAAAAAGGAACTAATTGTATCCCAACACAGGCTACATAACCCTCTATTTCAACAAAAACTCCTCCTGACACCAGAGTGCTAAGTAAAAAAGGACAAAAAGGCCTACCAGGCTGATGTAGGGCTAGCATGGTTATGATACGCCAGGTTCTGTAGCCATCATCCAGCTGTGTTTGAATCCCTAGGCCAAAAACCCGTTCATAACCGAGTTGACTGGGGGTGGTCATCACCACAAGTGCAGACCAAGGCTCAAACCATACATCCAAGGTATTTGCTAATGATCCCCAACTGCTCTGCCAGCACACCCCACTCAAGTGCTGGAATCCATAGGCAAGTCAGAGTCATTACCCATGCCAAGTAGTCAACTGCTGAAACACGAACGTTTTTCAATAGACTGTAGGCTTTTTTTTCCTCATTTAAAAAAAAAAAAAAAACCAACAAAAAACAAACAGCCCTCTCTTCTCTCTGCAAGGACACCAGAGTTTCATATATTTTAAGATTAGCCATAGGCAAAAAGAATTCCTTGATACCAAAACTGACAACTAGGTTAACATTTCTCCTTTCAGCAGTTGTTAGTAAGCCTTTGCAACTGCTGGATGATGCACAGGAATACTGTAACATTTTGCCCATGAATGCTGATCTCTAGGATTCAGACCTGTGGAGGCAGTAGTATGAAAGAAACATTTCTCTAGCTCCTTTTGTTCTCAAGGTGCACAAGCAACTTTGGCCAATTCTCACAGTACCTCTGTAAGGAATAGGCACAGTGTTAGCTTCCTTAAAGATGGTGAAGCTAAGGCTGAGATATCAAGTGACCTGCCCTAGCCTAGGCCTGGAACTCTGGAGTTCCTAGTTCTTACTGAGCAGGGTCACATTATGTTCTCCTCCGACTCCTTTCACAAGGCTAATCATTGCAATTTGCTTGTAGAGTTGTATGCACAAAACAAACAGCCACAAAGAAGTCTGTATTCACTGTCAAGCATGTACAAAAGGGTTTCAACATAGGAAGTGAACACAAGCTGGGACAGCTGCTAATCATCACAAGGCCACACACTGGCTGTACTGAGAAGAAAGCCTTAAGTTTGCTATTAAAAAAGTTGGTCAGCAATGTTGCATCAATGTGCAGGAACTGAAACACCCTTCCACCCGCCATTCTCCCCCGTTTGATCCCATGAAGCCCTAATCCTCTGTTTGTGACTGCAATCTGTTGGTATGGAAATGAGCAGTGTCACACATTCAACAGTACAACTTCACTGCAGGATTAAGGAGGGAGAGATCAAAAAGGAACTGTTTAGAGGAAAATGACAGTCAGACTTTGGCTAAAAATGAAATTTGCAAGGTCAAATTTAGCTACAAAAGAAACCAGAAACTGAGAGTCTCATAGCAACATGTGCCTTGCAGACAAATTAACCCTGTCATGTTTTTAACTCAGGAATGAAAGGACAAATAGTGACAGATCGGTGTTAGTAGAGTAATGTGTAGAGAAGGGAAAGACAACACCAGCAGAATCTATAAAGTGACTCTAGGCAGGTCACAGTATTAAGTTCAGGCTCTGGCAGGAGGAACAGGAAAAGGCCAGAACCAGACAAGTCAGAAGCAGATCACAGGATCCAGATTAATAGAATATTGCTGTGGGACAGAAAAGCAAAACTTCTGCAGTAGCAAGTCCAAGCATGCTACTCCAACAGTGCACCCAATTAAGAGGTTAATGCTACCATAAAAAGCATCAACTCCTTCTCTCTCATATTGAATTAAGTAACTTGAATATTTCAATAATGTAAATGTTATACAGAAAAACAGTGTGCTTTTGGCGTTTCAGGGGTATAGGTTGTAGCCATGTTGATTCAAGGACATAGGCAGACAAGGTTCTTTGGGTAAATCAGGTATCTTTTATTAGACCAACTATTTTAGTTGGAAAAAATTTTTTTTTGCAAGCTTTCAGGTACAAACACCTTTTTTCAGGCTGAGAAAGCCTGCAGGTGGTGTTCTGTGATCTTCCAGGTACAAAAAATAAAATAAAATAAAATAAAAAATAAAAAAAATCATAGACTAAACAGACATTGGATTTATGGCACATTATAACCTGCCTAACATCTGATACAACAGGTAACCTCTCTACTATTTACTAGCTATATCTTATCACCAGGTCTACATTCCCCCTCCCCCTCTGTTTCTCGCCCACTGACTGCCTCAATCTGCATTTTCACCGACTGGCACACTCACATACTGGCCTCTGGCTTCTATTCTATTCCACCCAGGAAGAGCAAAGACCAACTGCAGACTTCCTCAGCCTGAAGAAGGGTGTTTGTACCCAAAAGCTTGCAAAGAACAATTTTTCCAACTATTTTAGTTGGTCTAATAAAAGATATTGAATTTACCCAAAGAACCTTGTCTGCTTTTGAAGCTAGCATCTTTGCAGCTTCTAAAAGGTTATGCCTCATTGGAGGAGGGAACAGAATTCATACTGCTATTCCAAATGTGAGAGTTTTACCAGGCTCTGCTAGAAGGGTAGAAGCAGCAGCAAATGGAGGTCTACACGTCCTTCCATAAAGAAGAGTCAGGTTCCCACCTCTCCAAACAGATCCTTAGAAT